TCATTTGCAGATTCAAATGAGTTTTACAGGAATATGCAGTCAGGGTTAAGTTCTCAGTTACAATATTTATTTACCAAATTATCCCTAAAGGATAATAGTAAAATGAAAATATCCTTAGTGGTAGGATGGTAATATTTTCCCTTTCAAACGTTCATGTGATTTTTCAGGAATCATTTCCTTAATATAAACTGAAGTTGAGTTTGACAGACATGATTGAATTAAGATTCACATCAAAAAATGTTTTATCACATTTTATTAAGAAAACATTTTATTGTGTGAATAAACACTTCTTGGGGACTGTTCAAAACGAATTATGTCTTTTATTATACCATATGAACATGATTTGTTTAGGGAAGGCCAACTTGCAGCTCCATATTGTTTCTTAATGCTGCTGTTTATGTATACTGTATATTTACCATAAAAAATAGAGCCACACAAACTTGCATTTGGAAATATTTGGGGCAATTATTCAGCCAGATGCTTATCAACGAGTCCAACGTTCAGTATAAGGTCAACTTTCCGAATTTATGTTTAGAAAAAGTACAAAATATGAAAGGAAATGGAATAAATATGAGAGGAATGTTGACATATCTAAAAAAAGAAAACAAAAAGGCGTACTGTAACTCTGTTTGTTTGGGCCTGGTACCCTGAGGCGCAGGGCACCCAACACAAACAATAATATTAAATTGAAAAAGTAAAACAAGTCATAAATACGTGGGCCTCTTAATCTTTTTTATACATCGATATCATAAATTGTACATTAACTCCACTGACTGAATGTATATGATGTTTAACATTTGTTTGATCTATGCCACAGGAGAGAACAGCTCAGACCTTATCAGACACTTCCTCATTGAATCATCAGCTAAGGGAGTACGCATCAAAGGCTCTTCTCAGGAACCATACTTTGGTAGGTAAAAGTCAACAACAAGAACACCATTCAAAATAAAATCGCCTTCTCCATGATTGCACATCCTGGTTTGGAAGATATTGTCTGCCATACCAGGACTGAGTCAGCTTTGTCTGGACTCTTCAGGTGTGGGTGGACCTCTTGCATGATGCAACTTGGCATGAGTCCTCAGGGTGTGCTACTGTGACTGTCCTCTTTCCTATCAAGATACTGTGGGTGTTGTGGGAGTCAGACACGTGTAATGATGTAACAGCTTCCACAGAATATTTTACTGTCGCTGTGGTAGCTTTCATAAATCTCCACATGGTAAATGTGACTTGTAAAATGCACTAAGCGTACCCAAAAGAACATCTTTAATTTCCCCAAAAAGTAAGGATAATATGCCAAAAATACCCAGGCTAAGTTACTGATATTGAGAATAGATAGAGCATTTAATCAACGTGTCAGAATGAGAAATAAAATGTTATCTTCCAGAGATACATAATCATCTGGATTTGACTTGAACTAATCAAAACAATGATGTTTGTGTCCTTGTAGGTAGTCTCTCTGCCCTGGTTTACCAGCACACGGTTTCTGCTTATGCCTTACCCTGCAAATTACTGCTCCACTCCCAAGGTAAGCTTTTACTTACTTTTAATTACTTTTCTTTTTTTGTTTGTTTTACTTGTCATTGTGTGTGAGCCAGAAATACATAACAATGAGAGACTATTGTTTTTTTTCCCTACACAGATCTGAGTGCAGCAGAACAGAGAACAAATGACAAACCAGAATCAGAGAACAAGAATAAAACAGGTGGGACAGAAAAACAGTAAATGCCATAAAGCCTCCCTTTTTATATTATCATGTATTACTTATTGGATAATTATTGTTTTTTCAACCACTTACCTTCAAGTGATGCTGCTTGGGGTTGACAAGGGTCAGCAAACACTACAGTTAACATCTGCTAAGGGATTAAAGAAAACAACAAAGACCAAGAAATAAATCCTTATAATCTACATTAAATAGATACATTTACGTTTTATTAACATTTATTTCCCATTATTTCTCAAAAGTTTGGAAGGAAACGCTAACACTAGCTTCTTCTTCACAAGCTACTGTAGAAAAAAAAAACAGTTGTCTTGATAACTGAGGTAGGTAAGCTAGATAATTACGTCATAAAGGCTAGGCTAACTCTTCACGACTTTCTGACATTTTTCAGAAAGTTCTTGACAAAACAGCTCCACATTTTTAAAAAAGAATAGAAAATTCTTGTACTTTCCAAAGGACATGTTTGACTGTGTGAATTAAATTCTTACCTGCTTTTGCTCCATGTTGTTAGCCTCAGATCATGTTGAAACCTCTGGCTTTTAAAAAAAAAAGACAAACACGCAGGTGTTACTTAATACCTCAATTAAAGAAGGCGTGTTAGGAATACCTCTACTTCTGTCCTGCTGTTAAGTACGAGTGAATAACTATAACTATGCTAAGTGTGACATGCTTTAATTAGCCCTGCACTCAGCTGAGAAGTATGCTTCTTTAGCCACATGTAGCCTAATTAAAGTAGGCGGCATGTGTCATATTTATTATTATTATTATTTTTTATTATTATTATTATTATTATTATTATTTAAATCAATTTTTTAGTACTTATCTATTTTTTTGTGCATTCTTAATTAATCTTTTATTATTTAAATTGTACTGTGTTCACTTTTTGTTTGCAATCTTTGCTCTTTGATGGTGTAACAATGTAAATTTCCCCATTGTGGGATAAATAAAGGATTATCTCATCTTATTACTAATGCACATTGGGCAGGTAAAAACGTTTTTAAAAAAGAGCCCAAATTAGGCACAATGATATCAATTAACAAAATAATATGATAAAATAATTAAGGAGGCTTGTGATTGCTTTTCTTGCCACATACCGTGTATCTGAATACTAACTTTATATATTTGGCATATATTGTGATATTATATTGCTGATATATTGGCCAGGTCTCTCTTAAAAGAAAGCATTTTTAATCTCAGTGAAAAAAATTGCTTTTTGATGCCTTGTTTTTATGCAATATATTATTGGCTGGTGAAAGGAAAGCTTAGCGTATTAGTGTTTACTTACAATAAACTGATATCTAGTTGATTCAAGAAGATCATAATTTCTATTGTTTTTTTTCTGTCTCTTTCCTTCATAGCTTCCAATTTTGTCTACCTGAATGCTGTTCCCACTGAGATGCTGACTGGCCCCTGTGCGGTGCAGAAGGCGGTGTCCTCCACACTTGAGAAGGCCTCAGGCTCCTTCACACCCACCATAGTGAACACAAAGGTGTCTCTGAAGGGTGTAACACTGACAGATATCAACAGGAAGTAAGAAAAGACACATCCTGCCACTCTGCTGCTTTGATTTAACCTACAGTTCATAACAAAATAAATGTGGTATTTGTGTTGGTTTGCAACTTTTTTTTAAGACTGATTCTTCTTTTGACAGGCTATTCTTCAGACGCCATTACCCTGTTCACCTGCTCAGCTACAGTGGTGAAGATCCAGACAATCGATTGTGAGTACTGTATACAGCAACATATGTTATAGTCGAAGGGACTAATTCCCAGCCATAGTTTAACTATAATGTGGATCATGAACTTCACTTGATAGCAGAGGCAAATGAAAGCATGGCATTTATAATCTTTTTATTTTTGAAGATGTGATATTTTAAATTCAGCACATTTTAAAAAGACGGTGTCTCACATTAAAACATTTTGTGACCCTGGACCTGGCACATTTAAGGGTGCAGAAGTATTATATGTTATGTAATACAACTGTTAAATGAAGTTATAGAGCAGCATTAAAATGATCCCCATTGTAGAAATCAATTGGCGTTTTCCAAAAAAGCTTACACAGACTATGAAACCATACCACATCTTTAATGTTTTCTTATTTGCTCTACAGGTGGAGGAGGGGTTCCAGTTTTGGTGCAAGGTAATTTCTAACTTCAGTTGCTCATGATATCATACTGTTGTTAGATTTGAATTACAAATTAGGTGTATTTCTCCTCTGTGTATCCTTCATAAATCCTTTCAGGTGTCAGGCTTACCTGAAATTGATTTATACATAAAGATCATCTTTATCAGTCTTTTACTGTTATCTGACCTCAGCTATTATATTTTCAACCCCAACAGAATGTTTGGTTTCGTGGCAAAAGGTGTCGAGGCAGGTATGGAGAATGTTTGCCATGTTTTTGCAGAGTATGATCCCCTGCAGCCTTGCAACAATGCCATTGAGGTTATGCAGGTTGCCATAGCGAAGACCCACAAGAACTGAGAACAACTCTGACATGAGACAGTATGGAGGCCTAAGGCCCTCTCTACATATTCCACAACTGTATTTATCTGCACTAAACCCGTCCAAACCTGTGTCATCATGAGTGTCACTACAGCTTGTCAAACTAGACATGTGACCTATCGACTCATGCCTTGGTCAGATGAAAAAGAGAGATTACCGGTAATTGGACCACAAATGGAAGAGAATGTGTGATGTGATTTGAATGGCTCACTTATACTGTTGAATAACCTGTTTATCAAACTGCAAAAAAAAAAATTCAACAGTTTATGCTGAATTTGATGTAAAATTTATTTTCAAAATATTTTTGTAAAAAAAAATGGCTGACACCTTTACCTTATTTAACTTTATTTTAAATTAAAGTCTAAATCTGCACTACCCAGGGCAATAAAAAATAAAATGAGGGATTTTGAAGTTTCTGTTAATAGACAAGAAGTTCCTTAGAGTCAGGTCCTTTCATTTCAGATCTACCTATTGCAGATGTCCTGGCTGTATAGTTCACAATATATTTATTTCACTGCACTGCACTGTTGATAATACCCTGTATATTATAATATCTACATGTATTCCTGTATTTTTTTTTTTACTTTGATTGAGAAAAATAAACCTTTTCAACTGTTGAACTAGTGTATGTGACTGCTTCCTGATGTCAGAGAGAGAGAGAGAGAGAGAGCTTACTGGAAAGTGTGAAACCCAGACCGCTTCATCATCTATACAAATATAACCGAGACACTATGGTTAGAGGCTTTGTGTATTATAGCACCTCAAAGACACACAGACACAATAATCTGCACATATTTCTTTCTTTATTTGAAATAAAGATAAAAGCATAATGCTTCATTCTTAAGTTACAGAGCTCCCAAAAAAAGAGTGTGCTTCATGAAGCAAAGCAAAAACCAAGCACAGAACTGCATAGATAATATCTTCAAATATAAATACAACTTATTCTGAGGCACCCAAATGCAATGCACATTGGTCCTTTTGTCAGGCTTAATATCTTTGGTGCCAACTCAAAACTGAATAGCATAAAAACTCCTTATCTAAGGTGTAACAGATAGCATGTGTTGAGCATTGACGCCACACTGCAATGTTAACTATTTACACATACTGCCCTCCTCTGGTTAAGACAGGGAATTTAAATTCTCTGAGACACACACAGTGAGTGTGAAGAGCCTCACTGCTGTAAAGATCACAGTGAGCAGCACTTTTTTTAAGATAATTGTGAAACGGAGCCGGTATCAGTTTGAAATGATTTTTTTTTTTACAGTATAGACGATGAAGTGCAATGACAAAGTGCACACATTTTTGGAAATCTCTCAGTGCTGATGTTCTTCTAAGTGCTGTACGTGTCTACAGTGCAAGCTTTTGAGAACTTTAAACTTTTAAATATGTTCACTCTGCCTACATTAATGTTTATGATGGCCGTTGACCAAGAGAAAATCTACAACAATCTGGTAAAAAAAAAAAAAAAAACATACAGTAATACAACACTATTATTTGGTTTCAATTAATTTTCCATTTATGGCTCTAAAATAATTCAAGGCGATGTGCTTCAATTTTAACTTGAATATATCAACGAATGGTTAATCCCCTCAAGGTGCCCATTATCAGTAATTACCTGATGACATGCAGGGCAGAACAGTTTGGAGCTCATTAATTCCAGATTAAAGGCACCTCCAGGGCATCATACCAATTTCAACTTGGTCACTTACTATAAATTAAGGTCATGGAAAGTTTTTTTTAAAGCCATAGCGCTGATAATCTGGAAACGCCTGAGGGTTGGACAAATACCTGACGAGTCGTTAAAATTCCACAAGGTTCTAATGCAACTAGGAACATTGTTCTTAACTTCTGTGAACAAAAATACATTTGAAATACCATTTGGCAAGTGAAGATATTATTGTTTAGCTCATAAAACCATTAAGCTATGAGCCCGAGAGCGAATGTTAATGCTAGCAAGAGATTCAAAGCCAGTAACCTTGTATATGATTCAAAAACAGTAAATATAATATGACAACATGTTTCACAACATTTAGCTATCCAATCATGTCTCTGATCCCAAATATCTCTAAATATATTTTTTTGAGCAAATTTTGGCCGTATGTACTATTGGCTGCAGCTTATGATACAACTACAGTTACAATGCCAGCGCATTTATTTAAATCAATTTGCTTACATTTTTAAGGTAACTTAGTTTGTCGGTGATGATTATAAGAGTTAAAACACATTGGCAGCCAATCAGAATCGTGGTATACCATGGTATAATGAAAATAAATAAATAAAGCTTCATAGATACAAAATCACAAGATAGAAATTAAATTGTTTTTTTTTTCAGTGTAGAAAAATAATGAAAGACTGTTTGTTTGGACTGACTATATTCCTGCCACTCTTTGATTTCAAGATTATATTTCATGCTTTTCTTTTCTATAGTTCTGATTTCTATTGCGATATAGAATAATAGGGTAGGTGTGAGCTGCTATCCTATAGCAAAATTAGCAAAAGGCAAACTGAAGAGATGAAAAAATTCCACCCCTCCCCCCCATCCATTTCTAAACCCAAAGAGCCCATCAATATGTGTACAGTCTCTTTAGTATTTGTTCCCAATGTTTTGAAGAACTGCTGTAGTTAAGCATGTTGTTTTCCAAATAAAAACATTATTGAGAGACACTTCCTGTATCTAGAATGATGATGAGGCTGTTAACATATTCATTTGTTGTTATATTTGATGCGTTTATTTGGCACTCTGAAAATGGCCCCATTAGATCAGCTAAAGCTTGCTAGATGACGAACATCCTGCCAAGGTTTAAGGATAAAAATCTCATTCTCATTCTCACAATTCATCATTTGTTACGCAAAGTTCAATGAATGCTGTCATTGGGAATTCATATTAAGTGTATCAATATAGATGGATGGTTATATCTCAGCTGTCAGTGTAGCTCCAACATCACCAGTGTTACCAGAAAGAGCTGCACACTGGTAGTTTGTCTGGTGCGACCCCGGGGACAGGGTTTACGGTGTGATAGAGGGGATGCTGCGAGATCGCTTCATGATGAGACGCACTTCCACGTCGGGGAGGCTGTCCTGTTTTGTCTGGGCACACCCCTCGTCTGCTGCGGCCATGTGAAGGTCGAAGCGCAGAGATACAGACTTCTTCCGCAGCTTGGGGTTCCCTCTGAAGAAAGAGCCTTCCCACTGCTTAATCACCTTATCGATATTCTCCGTCCTGGTGGTAAATGAGTAAGATTCATGGGATAAAAAAAAGGAGAAATCATAAAATGATACTTGACACATTATATGTTATCAGTCTATATACAGACAAAACCTCATGAACAGCTATTTCATGTTGTAAATGTATTTTATCTGCTAATTAATCAAACATGTATGATTTTATTTAAACATGTAACCCCAATTCATTAGAAGTCTAAACTGAGATATTCAAAGTTATTGAAAAATGGTATCCTCATTTTGAATCTGATGCCAACAACATTTTTCTAAAAAGTTTGGGTCACCTCTCTGTTGCATTACTTTTTGTTTAACAACACTTTGTTAGCACTGCTCAGACCTACAGTATTTCTGTCATGTTTGATCATTTTTTGCTTAATTTAGATGTTCAACAGTTCAAGATGGCTTTTGTCTAAATTTACTCTTCATTATTCTCCAAACATTTTAAATGGGTGACAAGTCGAGAGTGCAGGCAGGCCATGTATCACCTAAACTCTATGGAGCCATGCTGCTGTCATACATCCAGACGGCAGTTTTGGAAATGTCTTTCTGAAATAAGGAGGGTATCCCTGAAAAGGTAGTTGTCTATTTGGACGAATAAGTTGTACAATAAATATGTACAGTATATATGGTTCAGCATAAACACTATAACAAAGAGTACAGTGAAGACATCTTTTTGTGTAAAGTGTCTTGAGATAATGTTGGTCATGAAATTGTATTATACAAATTAAGAGTAATTGATTAATTGATTGATTGGTTGGTTAATGGTGCTTTCATGACCTGCCTGAGGATCTCAGACTAGCTACTGTACACCAGTATCTTCTTTTAAAAACACATTTTTATCGTAAGGCTTTCTTATAATCCTTGTTTCATCCAGGATGTTTTATTTGTTTTACTGTTTGCCTCTATGTAGGTTTATTCTCTGGTGGGCCCACTGCCCAACAGACCTGTAGTATTGCTTAATATGTAAATTATGTAACCTGAAAGTTGTCCCCAATCTTTGTCTTGGTTGTTTCTCTTTTCTCTGTTAATTGGATGATTGCTACACTTTGTGACGTTGGTTTTGATAAGTGCTTTATAAATAAACTTTATTATATCATTATTATTATTATTCACAAATGTGCAGGTTACCCATGCCATGTGCACAAATGCACCCTGATTCCATCACAAATGCTGACTTTTAAACTGTGTGCTGATATCAGATGGTCCCTCTCCTTGTTAGAGCAGAGAACGGGGTGTCGAGGATTCCCAAACAGACTTTTACATTTTTACTTGTCAGACCTCAGCACAGTTTTCCACTTTGCCTGAGTAAATTTTTAATGACTCCTGCCCCAGAGAAGGTGACCGCCTTTCTGGATCTGGTTAATATACAGTTTTTTAAGTATTCCTGAGGCCCTGCAGTCATGCCCACGACAGAGTCGTCAATCGTGTCTGTTTTGAACGCAGGGGCTTGATGATCATTTCTTTCCCTACATGCAAAGGTTTCTTCAGATTCTCTGAATCTTTTACTGATATCCTGACAATGACTAACTCTCTAGAATCTTTTCAATTATATGTTAAGTCTTTAGCTGACTTGTGAACTCCCCAACTTCTCTCAGAAAGACTCAGCCTCTCTGGTATGCTCTTTTCATACCCAGTGATGTCACTAACCTACTGCCAGTTAACCGTTACAACTGTAAAATGGTCAGGATTTCTTAAGCTTTTCTCTTTTCCAGTCTTTTGTTGCCAATATCCCATCTTTCTTTAAACATGTTGTCGGAATCAAATTTAAATTGGGCATACCATTTTACACGATGTCTCAACTATTTAGGAATTTGGGATGAATATTGAATGCAGGGATAATGAGACCTTTCTTGAACTGTTGACATCAACAGCTGGAAGTCTATCTATTGTCAGATGTTTCCAACAGATGTCATGTAATCCTATGAGGGATGGGCAATTCCACTACAACAAATTATTTCATAATACGCATTTGCTTCAAAGAAACACAAGGGGGCAGCAAAGGAGTGCAGTTTCTATACCCTATATTCAACCTGGTATAAGGACTAGTGAATACATACCTTGAATTAACTGAAAATTTGTCTTAGCTAAGCGTATTCAGAATGAGGTCTCTGGATCATTGCCATAAAAAACAAATGAAATTCAAAATGTTACAAATCCCTGTCTGATATACAAATGTGGACTTATTATTGGCTCAAGCAGAGGACACCAGCACTGTAGTTGCAGGGTCATTTCTATATTAATAATAAGGTCGTTTAGAAGACTTACAAAGAAATGTGGCTGCAAGATTTAGAAGGTTTGTGCATTGACATGTTGGATGATGGGCTGTTTATAAAATTGTATTTATATTTCCTGAAAGTAGCAGCACTGTTGTATATTTACTGCTATGTTTTATTCTGCTACAGTATAGCAACACCAAAACCTTGTAAAACCAAATAATGACCTGAAACATCATTATTCATAAAGAATCGGCATTACAAATTGGTTTAGGGAACCCCAGTCTCAATTGTTTGGCAAAACTGGAGATGAGATTTAAACGGTAAGTTCTAATATTATTCAACAAAGAATGCTATGCTAGTGTTAGCCTAAGGGCAAGCATGTTTAATGTTGCCACATTAAAGCCCCTTCAGCATCTCCCTGTTACTGCTCTTTCCTATTGAATGTTGTGGTTGTGTTCAGGACCGACTGACTAAATGATCCAGAATTTTAAATCTCACACATCAAGCATGTTTAATGTTATCAAGTTTGCCCTGAAAAGGCCAGTAAGTTTGAGTGTTTCAATCCCTTATAGAAGATCATTTAGGGAGAAGATCAGTAAGGTCCCAGATCAGATTTCTTAGAGATAGATGACTTGATAATGCAACATAATGTTAAAAACTAGAATTTGTGCCCACTTTAATCAGATAATCGATTTATATTTTTATTCAACAGGATATGGCTTCAGGGCAGTGACAGCAATTATTAAGGATGGATAAAAGACAGACTTAGGTAAAACTAATTGTCCTTTGATACCTGTTTAGAGTCAATTTGGTGACAGAGTAAGTTAAACCATCTGCCACCTGATGACGCGTATGTTTTGCATTGTTGGCAAAACCTGAAGCATGTCTCCAACAATAACAGGTGCCACGCCCTGGAGACTCCACCCCCAGCGGGACTCTCCACATCAAACACAAGCCATTAAAGGAAGAAACTCCCATGAAACGCTACGCTGAGTTAATCATGGGAACCTGAGCAGTCAGCTAAATGTTTTCCGCCTTCTCTAACTTGTTCAACCTGAAAACGTCAAAACCTTTTGATGGTTTTTACATCTTGTCTGCTGGACCAGACGTCGCCAAGGGCGGAGAGAAGACATGGCTGGTTGTGTCATTAAAGAGTAATGAGTCAATAAAATCCTCCCTTAGTCAAAGTCATCAGAGGTGTGAAGGCGTCAGACGATTAAGCTAGCATGAAGCTATGTGTCTTCATGGAAAAGGCATTTGTCTTTGTAATGAAGAACATTTGGCTCCTAAGTGATGCTATTAGTGCTTGCTACTAGAGAATGCCTGCTTTCCAGTACAGAGGCAAAGGAGCTGGCTACAGATCAATGGGGGCCAAAAAGATCGATACTCACTCGATGGTACCGTGACCCTCTGCACTCTCTCGCACCACGTTGCCCTGAAGAATCTCCTGAGTCTTCACAGTGGAGATTGGCAAGTCTTTATCCTGCTCTGGCTCTGTGAGAACACATTATTGACAAGTCATAATTAGATATAACTGTAGTAAGATTGTACCTGTGTGTGTGTGTGTGTGTGTGTGTGTGTGTGTGTGTGTGTGTGTGTGTGTGTGTGTGTGTGTGTGTTACCTGTGAGTATCACAAGGCTTTGCTGTCTGTGCAGTATGCTTTTCTTCATCTCGTTGTCTGCTGGGAGAAGTGATGGTATTACAGGTAGTGGCTCAGACTTTGGTTCGTCCGGAGTAACAGCGGGGTCACTAAAGCCGTTCTCCAGACAGCTCTCCTTCTGGTCCTCCACAGCTGATCTCCAGGGCTGCAGACTCATTGGTCGTACATTATGTCCCATGTACCTGGGAACCAATTGAAAATGATAAAGCAAAAGTTATACTTTCAGAGAAATACATGCCCAGGATGAAGCGATAGCCAGCAGTCTGTTAGCTTAGCTTAGCATAAACACATAAAGGAGGAGAATATGCTAACCTGTCTAAGTCGCAAAGACAAGAGTAAGAGGCTACCAGCAGCTCTAAAGCACCCTAATTGACATTTTATATTTTCAATCAATGCCTGGCTTGGATTTGTACTCTGTTTTTTTTTTTACATAGCAGACCAGTGCCATGCTTCGAGTTCTGAACAAACACTCTGTAGGACTATGTCCAATAATATCATTCGGCATAGAGATTTCAAGCAAATTAGAATAGAAAACAGAACAGAATAAGAAAGCAGGGGCACAAAAAGTTAGAAAGTTTACAAGACCCCAAAGAGCTGGATGACAACAAAATGGTAAAAGACAGCTGTGGACTGCAGCAGTATTTAAAGAAAAGTTAATGAATAAGAAATTGTCAACAATTCACCTTGTCTCACTTCACCTTCAGTGGAAATGTTCAGTTTGATTTAAGAAGATTACAAAGCTATCTGCTGCTTTTGACCCAGTTTCAGATGCAGAATTATTTATATTTATTAATTTCATTTTTCGATTGCCTTGATAAGTTGCTGTGTATTACAGGGGACAACAGCTGATAGATCATTATGTGAGACTAAACCCTGACAGGAAGAGTCTTATTAGCCAGAAAGCTAATATGAGCTTACCCCATGCTGGCTGCAGCTTTGCGTTCAATCGACGAATATGAGACTGGCTTTGATTTTCTCATTGAACGCAGGGCTTAAGAGTACATAGACATACTGTACAGGCACAAAATGTCTCACTTTGTCTTTGACATGACACTTTGTTCTCTAGTCAAGATTGTTTTGATGGCATTTTATGGCAAATATCCGGAAGAGAAAATGGGGTTGATATACTCAGAAGGGATGGGGGCTGGAGTCAAACCTCAGACCTGATGGAGCATGGACTCAGCCTCTGAATGTGAAACCCTAGTGTTGCCTTTCAACCATCCTTTTGGCTAACATACCACTAATGGAAACTGTTTTTTGCGCTGCAGTTTAGACCAACTGAAAACAAGATGAGTTAGAAAATTCATTTTATCGGCCGATTTTAATTTATGGCGACGGCAAATTTCTTAACGTTCAAACAGTTTTTCACTAAAAGTAAAGGTGAGGAACAATCAGTGTTTCCATGAGCTGCTGTAGCTCATAGTAAGGCTTGAGTTCTTTCCTGTAAATAATAGTGAAATGTTAACGTAACACACTAAGCTAAATTCTCAAGCCCAAATCCAAAACGTCATCCATCTTGAGCTTGTAGGATGGGACTGTTGATAGAGATGGTCTGTCAGATGAGTTCCAGCCACCATACTGATCTCCCCTGTTGGATAAAGTTCTCTGAAAAAAGTTCTGTTATTTAAACGTTTAATTAGTATCATCTCCAAGTCTATAACCTTCATCTTAAAGTATACAACTTGATTAAACAAACCTAAATTGGACCTATAGAGGCCTCGCTTTTGGGACTAAATTATCCATCTTCTACGCTGGCTTACATGCTCTATGTATAACTACACTCCTTTTAACTGCTGCGTAGCCTGGACCAACCAAATCTACCGCATAAGATTGGGCTCATGTGATATCTGCCACACATCCGTGGAATTACCCAACAGAGATGGATGTCTCATTAACCTTATGATGAAACCAACAGGGCTGCCAAGGGTGTGTCAGGGATGCTCCAAGACAGTCACATTCTTTTCAGGCAATTATGCTATCGATGACTTGTGGTTAGAAGGAAGCTAGATAAAAAAGAGCGTCCTGTTGCTGCTCCACCAGCCAACAAGACGCTCAGGTAACAAGGAGATGATTACAAAAAAAAATGAAAACAACGCGGCAACACTAGCAGATTTACTGGAAGAGTCTGCACTCTTATTTCACCAACAAACAGACAAAGGTTCTCAAAGGATGGACCCTAAAGACTCTGATGATTCCCTGTTATTCCTCTAATGCCCTGATCTTGAAGTTTTAGTGAAATATGGGATAAAATTGGAAGGGTTGATATGGGATGTGGTTTGGACATTCATGTCCTGTCTAGGATAAATTGCATTAACCTTGTGACTTTTAAGTTGTCAGGGGAAAAAATGTCAACACAACCGTTGCTTCGATTCATGACCAAATACCAACACAACAAATGTTTTTTTCTAAACCTAAGCAGTAGGCCTACTTTGTGTTTTTTTCTGTTATCCTGAATTCAATTTTATTTAAACACTTTATCTGCATTAAAGGTTTAGGAACGATATTGTTAGAACATCAAGGTACAAGATGAGTGAATATTTGGATGATAATTGATACTAATATGAGCAGTATCGTAGCATTAATGCTAATTAGCACTGGAGCACTGGATTAGCAATGGAGTATGTCCTTGTAAAACAGCTTGATACTAGCAGGCAATCGACTAAGACACAAGACAAATACATCATTCTATCATTTTTGTCCTCTTCACCTATTGTTTCTGTTCACTTTCCAATTACTGCAGTTACATGTCAACATGTTGCCTGGTTGTTGGATTATGTCTCAGATACATAGGTTCTACCATATTTTAAATGCCAAGGAGCTAAAAGGATAATGCTAATAAGCAAAAATGCTTATTAGATGTTACATAGCATGCTAACACACCAAATAAGAAGATGAACAAGGCATAGTAACATTAAAACATTTTTCTGTGGACGAGTAAAGTTTCACAGAACGGATAATGTAGTTGTTGACTCTAAAACTTGTTACAAAATCCATTGCCGAAATGTTAGTGCCAAAATGAGTCTCTCATGGTATAGGGGTTCCGATTTGACTTGGACCATCCCGTTTTCAAGCTCTGTGTCATAAGTCCCCTCAAATATCTCTAAAACCCTCATATATCCTGGTTTTGAACACTTCCTGTCCAGGTTATAACCAACCAAAACAACACACCATGCTTGCTACACTTATTTGTCTGTATGTCAATCAATGTTGTTCCAAAGGTTGCGTAGCTAACCGAGCGAATCACATGAACAGGACCTGGTGCATTTCCCAAAGAACTCCAGGAGAGTTACAGTTTACTTCAAAAAGTACAGGGCAATTAATATGCTATGCTTAGTGCACACTGCAAGTGTCCGTTTTAACTCGCCCACTGTGGAAATCCTGATATTCAAAGCCATAATAAAACAAGCAAACACAAACGGTGGGCTCAGACTCCTAATTGTTGCAACCTACTTCAGTGAGGCAAACGCTGGTGACAACAACCATAAACAGCCTGCTGAGGGGGGAACCTTAGCCTACCGCCTTGTGTGACCAGTGGAGGTGGATACATGTGGGTTTGTGGTCAAAATTAAAGTGTCCCAATTTGGAGGTTTGAAAATATGGTCACCTTATCCTATGGTGCTGATTAGTTTGAATCACAAATACAAACAGATTATTTCTGCACAGTCTAAACAAGAACCGGGACGTTTAAAAGACAACATAAAGGTATTGTGCACAGACCTTTCAGTATATTTTGTGTTCCTTTTACTTTTCTTTTAATCTGCAGACCAAACTCAGTAACCTTTAGGGTTTGATGTGTGCAGATGCTTCAGTTGTTCAGACTGTAAAAGGCTCTCACATCTTTTCTTTTTGTCACACAGCCCTTTGAGCTACCCGCTTGCTACTGAGTCACGGCCCTTCCCAAACAAATGATGCAAATTTCAGATGCCACGTCACGCCTCTCCTCGCGTCAAGGACATCAGTCAATCAATCATGTCATATAATGAATGTAAAGCATCTGCAGGCAAATAAACGAGGAATGGCAAAGGCTGCACTACAATCTGTCTGTCTGTCTGCAACGTCTGCGAGAGTCGTCAAATGAAATGAATGTACTTTCCTCAGACTATAAACTGACAATCATATGTTTGTTGTAGCCAATGTTTCAAATGATAATTAAAGACCATGTCAAAAGAAAGGAGCATTCGCTAATAAAACAGCTTGTTTCTGGCAGGCAATAAGGGAGGAGACCAGACAGGCCAACCGTCTGGCTTCTATCATCTTGTCTGATACAAAGACGGATGGTTCGGCTATTAATCCATAATGTTTCGTCATCTTTACTTGAATTATCGTTTGTGCTTTTATGTAAAATTACTGGAACTTTCTGGTGGATTGCCAGTCACTGCTGTTCCATGTAATTATGATGTCATGCCGTACCCAACTTGTGTCTCAACTTGCAATTATTGTGGATTTGTAGTTTCTACACTGACTTATTCCACTGAATCCAGAAAGAAAACAGTGGGCTTTGACCACACATGACACGTGAAACTGTTTGACAGCTACATAAAGGAAATCACTTTGTTTTCTTTTGTTCATCTTTAAGTGCAAGGAAGAACTTTCTCTTCACTTCATGTCAGTAAAAAGTGTGTGAAAAGTGTTTTCTTAGATGAATATTTTGCAGAACTGATGCATAAATCATATAATTCTGTAACAGTTACTAACCGTCTTGTTATATGTTTGAAGTTGAGCCAATATTCCTGTAATCATTCAGACAGGTAAAATAAAATGACCTTCCTGGTTACGGGTTGAACCACAATAGAACCCCAACTGAACAAATACTTCCTGCTTCCTCCATTCTTTAAATTCCACTCCTATTCTCCTGAACCTACCTGCCCTCTTCGCGATCCAGCAGACGACGATAAGTGGCAATCTCTTGCTCCAATCTCATTTTGGTGTTGAGGAGCTGGCTGTGCCGCTGGCGCTGGGTGGCCAATCCGTTCCTCACCTGCTCCAACTCGCTCTCCAGCCCAGTGATCACCTGGGAAAGGTCCTGCAGCTGGCTCGAGTACATCTGCTGGGTGTTCTGCAGGGAGTTCTCCAGGCCTTTCTCCTGAAGAAGAAAAAAAGGATACTGATCCCAAACCTTAAAGTTCTCATATGAGACACCTTGTCTGGTATTATCCAGCATTATTGACTTCCTTAATGAAAATAAAAATAAAAATGTGTATATGTTTTAATTTGATTTGCCATTCAAATGTCAAGTTCTTCACAAGCCATCATTCTGTTGCTCTGGTAACACAATAGCTAGACAATTAAGGACTACCTAGAAGGTGTCATTTGTTTGGAATAAATGGACAACCAGCAGCCAAATATTCTTGGCCAAATATGTATTCTTCACCCAGATCATGGTATAGCATATTTTAGATCACAATCTTATGAAGTTATTTTCAATTCTAATGGACAAGGAACCAAGGGGAGACAATGACTAAATACAAGGCATGTGCTGTGAAGAAGATTTAAAAATTGATTGGTAAAAATGTAAAAAAAAAAACATTCAATTTGCAATATATAGGATAAAATATGCAGAAAACTAATGCCCCTACCTTTCTAATTGTTTTACAGTATGCTACTAACATGTATATCTTCAGTTTTTGAGTTCATCTGTAACGATGAGTGTTTCCTCACCAGGGCATGCAGGGTTTCTATCTCCACCTGCAGGGAGTGCCACTGCCTCCTGGCCTCGGCGAGCTCGGCCCGGGCTTCCCTCAGGGCAGCGCTGCCAAGGTTCACCTGCGCCCATGCTGCCTCCTCCTGAGTGAGACGACAGAAATCACGACATTAAAACTGGAATTTGAACATCAAAATCACCCAAACTGCCCAAAAGTATGACGAAATACACACGCCAAAAAACCCCACACACAATCATGGATTTCAACACAGATATGAAGCCTTGTGTAACTCAGAGGGGAGAGTCTTTGTCTGGACTAAATAAATGTGCTGTAGCTGAGGGCATGTGGCTTATTAGAATGGAAACTGTTAAAAAACAACAACAAGCTTCATTAAAAGCTACAACTATACCGACTGTAAAACTCAGCCACACATCTTTCCCATTGGCACTCAGTCAGAAAGCGGCTGATCATGTGTGTTTCATTTAAAAAGCAAACACAAAAGCAGAGCAGGCACCCAGAGGCCTGTGTGTACACAAAGCTTTACCAGCTGTGTTGACACACTGTACAGCTGTTAGACATTTCTCACCCTCCGCCCTCACATCCCCTTCAAAACTGCTTTTAGTGTTAGTGCTGCAAACTCCTGGAATATTTTACAACAGGACCTGAACTTGAGCACTTTTATCCCTTATGGACACTTTAGAAATATTATTTTTAACAACCCAATACCTGACTGTAACTGTTTTATTTGATTTTAATTACTGACTTATCACTGTAGAGATTTCAAGCTTTTAAATTATTTTAGTGTATATATATTATTGTTCTTATTGCTCTATCATTGTTTATCATTTATGTATCATTGTTTATCATTTATGTATGTTTTCTCTGCATCATTGTAAATGAGGGTCGTCCTCAAAGATCTCTCCGAGAACTTAAATAAAGGTTGATGATGATGATGATGATGAAAAATGGGGAAGCGGTGAAGCTGTCTCAGAAAAGTTATGATAATATTTAAACATTAGATAATAGTTAATATTTAGATCATATTTAAACAAAAAAATGACTCATGTTAACTATTTGAATGTCTGTTCAATGTATTATTTCAATGATTCTACATACCGTTCTCTTTGTATTTCATAAATGTATGTGAGAAGAACATCTAACAAAAAGCTTCCTTATCTGAAATCTCTCTGAAAGATATTTATAGAAAACTTAGTTGGTATACCTTTCATCCAGAAGTACTTCAAGTAGTTGCGCAAATATTTAAAATACATTTCAACAAATATATTCTTTCATTAAAAACTGTCAGTATCAAAGAGTACAGAAGAATGAGCAGTGAAATATCACATCTTAAAGTAGTTATTGTAGAGAATGTCTCCTGACGGTGGATGTTTCACCACGCAGCATTTCAGAATTTCAGATTTGTAGCCGTCAAGTTTAAACTCATTTCAACTTCTCCGTTTTCTGATGGGTGCTTTATGCATTCAATTCATGATACATTTTGTTGATAACATGTTTTCTATGTAAAATCTTAGATGATCAAAGTAACTAATGACTCGAGCAGTCAAATAAATGTAGTGGAATAAAAAGAGAGATGTGTGTTTCGTTTATTTAAGGAAGTAGAATTGTAAAGAGGCATCATATGTAAAGTATCTCTATATTTACATAAAGTTGTATTTTTTGGTCTGATTACCAGCACCTGGTATCCCCAGATCTCTACATCTAGCTACAGCTTTTCTATAACAAGCTAATAAAATAAAGATTCTTACTGTGAAATTTAAAGGCTACCACAGGATTTTTTTTCAGCCCAATCAAGCTGGTTTTTTATGAGTGGGCATGATGGGCACACATAAGGTTGACACTAGTTATACACAGCAAGAAAACACATCAATACACATGAGAGCACAGGAAGATGAATATACAAGCAAGAAAACACAATGCAGAATTAACAATTAACAACTCTTGCAGAAGTTGCACGAGGAAGGAAATTCATTTAACACATTTTTTAGACCTACAGGAAATCAATCGGAAGTTTAACAGAACTTATTTGTTCATAAAGAAATCTCCACAGGGCACATGTCATCTTACAGCGAAGAATGAAAAATGATGATAGATGACATTTGAGTTTGGTGCCTGCATCAGAGGTTTGGTGTTTGCACACGTTTTCCCTTTAAAACTCTAAACCACTCTAATGTACTGTCACATGTAGAAACATTATGGTCAATACAAACACCATGCTTTGTTAATTATGAACATCAGGCAAGGCTAAAGACCGCTGCATTGTGTTACCTTTTTACCATAGCCTGACAAGCAAAGCTACACACAAGCATTGTTTATTTAAAATGTGCACACTTTTAGCATCGTGGTAGCTTGCAGCCTTCAGGTGAAGGCACTTTATTGTCACTGTCAGAACACAGTCATGGTGCTGTGGCACAGGAACACAGGGCTAATAAAACGCTTCAAACTGGCTCTTCCTCATAATTACAAAAAAAAAAAACAAGACAGTTACAGTAGGCTGAAAATATTCAACTTCAAAATAAAAAAGGGCTGCTAGCTCCAGATAAAGGATACAAATCTGCACTGTAGATACAAATGGTTAGCTTTGTAGTTTGGCTCATACATATTTAATGAAGATCAGGATGCACTCAAAGAAGTTACTGATCAGGGTGCTGTATATGTGTGTGACAGTAAAAAGGTGAAATGAGAAGAAATTTACACAAAACACACGCAAACCTAAAAGAAGGGAGAGGCATGATGAGTCCAAAGCCTACAGCCTCTCAACACAATCAACAAACACTCTGCCATTAGTTTGAACTCCAGCCAAGAACAAACATAAGTCTGCCTCGCCTGTGGGACGGCCTGGAGTTGGTCTTGAGGGTGTGTCTGGCTGGCCAGGAGCCAGGATGTCATGAGAGACACAGAAGTGGAGAGTGGATGCGTACCTCAGTGAGAGCTCCTCCGTGTGTTCTGGATGCTGCTCCTGCTGCTGCTCCAGAGCTGCTAGGCCCAACAGAGCCAGAGACTGGATGTGAAACGGAGCCCAGGTTGAGGTGTCTCTCTCCCAGGCTGGGGAGTCTGCTCTGGTCGCACTGCGCTCTGATTCTGTCGAGGAGCTGAGTGAGCTCCATCCCTGTGCCATCCTCCTTCTCCCCTCCTCCTCCTGCTGCTGCTGCTACTGCTGCTGCTGCTGTGTCTGTCTCTAAAAGAGCATCGCAGGACCCGGCCCGCTGCAGCTGTAGAGCCCGGGCTGCCTGCAAACAGCCAACCAAGGGGAGCAAATGGGGACGGAGTGGGAGGGGGACGGAGAGAGATGGAGTGAAAAAAGACAGAGGGAGGGTGAGATGAGAGTGGAAGACGAAAAGAGAGAGAAAAACAAGATAAACGCACGTACTGTCAAACATGTACACAAGCAATGTGTTTATGTTTTTGTGGGCATGCGTGTGAGTGTGTTTTGTTTGTGTGTGTGTGCTTGGGATAGGGCTGGATGGGACGTATATGCAAAAGGGAAAGTAAGGATCAGTCATTAGGTTCTATATGAGTGCAGAGAGGGACTGTGTGTGTGTTTGTGTCTGTATGCAGGGAAAGACACTGGACTTGAACGAGGGAGGTATTAGTCAGCAGGAATGAGAGAACAAAGAAGGCAAGACAGGAAGGAGAGAGGAGGTGTGGATGAGGTCAGAAAAGGGGACAAGGAATCATTAGATGTTATATAAAGGATAAAAATACACATTGAAATATGCACACACAGACACAAACACAAAAACATGACAGGATTTGAATGTAAGGGTGAAATAAATGGAACGATGCTAACATGTTCTTGTTTTAAAGCATTTTTAGCATTAAAGTTGTGTTTAGTTGTAGCAATTTCTTTGATCAGAATTAACACTTTATTCCCACAAAGAAGCACATAGACGTTATATTCAACTTTCCAATCGAATACTTTGAGGGCTGAAACCCAGGGGAAAGGTGTAGTCTGGATTTCAAGCTTACCCTTTTTGAATAACATACTGTAGCCTATACTTAAAGGCAACCTTTTATACTAAGTCTAAGTTACACCATTACAACACAAAGTTTGAAACCTCTCATACAAAAGAAAAGAAAATGAAGTGTAAATATTTCATACTAATCAAGTAGGAAGCCAAAAACAAGCCACCACCAAGAGTTTCAATCTTCTCATAAATAGTATTCATCCTCATACCAGTTCTTAATATCTGTTTATCACCTTATTTGACGTGTGCTGATAGTGTCTACAGGTCTATGATTGGCCTTGCAGTTAGGTGAACAGAGGCTGTAGTCCTCAAAGTGGCTGGCCCAGGTTCAGCTAAGACCCTCGAGCAAATCCTCCCCTACTTTCTAATGCTAATCTACTAATCAGTCCCTAATTCGTCTTAAATAAGAGCATAATAGTCTAAAAAATATATATAAATAAAGCAGGCAGATAAGAGGATAAGGCCACAGTAAAAACAAGCAGACAAAAAGAAGTCATGACAGACATGTGCTGTACATAAAGTGACCTCAAACTCCTGGTGCAGCTCCTGCAGCTCCATCATGGAGTGTCGAAGGTCCGCCTGCAGCGTCACGCTGCTCTGATCCGCCTTCCTCTTTGATTCTCTGAGCAGAGCCACCTGCTGCTCCAAATGCAGGGTGCTCGTCTCTTCCATCTCACACCTGTGATGTAATATCAACGGTCAAGGTCATTCATTCATTGTTAATCTTTTAACCATCTCTTTTCCCAGTAAGACGTCGACTTATTTCTTTCTTTCTTTTATTTCTTTTTTGCGTGCATATTCATTTTACTTATGTTTTATGTCTTTTAACTTGACTCTATATTTCACATGTAGTTTTCTTTTATCTCATGTGAGCTGTTACGTATTTTATTTATTCTTCTGTACAGCACTTTGGTCAACTGTGGTTGTTTTAAAGTACTTAAAAAATAAAGTTGGGATTGGATTGGAACCATAAGAAAGACGGGGTCAAAGAGCCAGAGAGAAAAAAAAACATATTAAAATCGAGTAAAGTATTTGTTTCCTGAAGCGTCTATTTGTCAGTGTTGCCCACACCCGGTAGAGCTAAATTCAAAATAGGATGCCAAAGCTGGTGAATGTTTACTAACTTTCCGTACAAAGGACATAAAAGTCCTCAGGATCTTTAAAGTGTGCCATAAAAAGAGTCCAGAGTGTCACAGACACACTCAGGGAGTCAGGAGACACATCAGGTGGATGTATAACTAGAACAGGTGTATTCATTTCAAGCTGCTGCGTGCCGACACTGTCCTTCAAGAGTTAATGCCTGAAAGTGAACGGGTGGTGACTGAGTGTGTATTTGTGTGTGGTGTATGTGTGTGTGTGTGTGTCTGTGTGTGTGTGTGTGTGTGTGTATGTGTGAGAGAGAGTGTGGTGTCACTGCATGAATACATAAGTGAAAGTGCTGACGCGGCACAAAGCCCGGCCTGGATTTGTATGCAGGTTGGCTCACAGGAGCGAGGAATCGGCCCCGACTTGAAAAAGCATCCCAGAAGGATGTAAACAGGAAGTATTTGTTTGTGATGTGTAATGCGTCAGTTATGATAACTCTACATTTCTTCTGCATGGGTAACCGTTTAAATTACAAAAAAACCTAAAAAAATAAATACTGAAAACAAAATGTTTAAGACCCTGTGATTTGTTTATCAGGAAGCTAACATGCCTAATCAACTACATAACAAACTCCATACTGTGTGGATAGAGGAGTGCTAGATCTTTCAGGAAAATGTAATAAAGCTGACCTGGCCTGGACAGCAGCAGCTCTGGACTTCATGGTGTCAGACTGTAATGCCAGCTGGGCGTTGTCCATCAGCAGTCTACCAACCTGATTAAAAAAAAACATACAATATAACATGTGATTAAAATCAAAGAAAGTGCAAAACAAGCAGTTCCTCAGCTGTAAAAGTTCATTTTAGTGTATGAAATTGTAACGTAGTAAAGATTGAGACAAGACTTAAAACACTTTTGGGCCTTTATTGGAGAGATAGGACGGTGGATAGAGTCAGACATCAGAGAGAGAGAGAGAGAGAGAGTGAGGAATGACCTGCAGGAAAGGAGCCACAGGTTGGACTGGAACCTGGGAGTCCGCCTGGAGGACCACAGCCTCCACACATGGGGCTCGCTAGTAGTTCACATTGTTTCAATATGAGAATCAAAAATACATTTGCCTTTCAACAAAAATGTGTGTGTAATGATAGCAGACATAATGTCTTTTAATAAGGCAGTTTTTTCTTACCACTGTAACTTTTGCTGCTTTGCTAAAGTGCTCATGATGGATAGGCCGGATCTTTGTAACATAACAATGAGTAAGGTCTTTTACCTGCTTTTTGTAACATAACAATAAGTAAGGTCTTTTACCTGCTTTTTGTAAGATAACAATGAGTAAGGTCTTTTACCTGCTTTTTGTAAGATAACAATAAGTAAGGTCTTTTACCTGCTTTTTGTAACATAACAATGAGTAAGGTCTTTTACCTGCTTTTTGTAAGATAACAATAAGTAAGGTCTTTTACCTGCTTTTTGTAAGATAACAATAAGTAAGGTCTTTTACCTGCTTTTTGTAAGATAACAATAAGTAAGGTCTTTTACCTGCTTTTTGTAAGATAACAATAAGTAAGGTCTTATACCTGCTTTTTGTAACATAGTAATAAGTAAGGTCTTTTACCTGCTTTTTGTAACATAGTAATGAGTAAGGTCTTTTACCTGCTTTTTGTAACATAGTAATGAGTAAGGTCTTTTACCTGCTTTTTGTAACATAACAATAAGTAAGGTCTTTTACCTGCTTTTTGTAACATAACAATAAGTAAGGTCTTTTACCTGCTTTTTGTAACATAGTAATGAGTAAGGTCTTATACCTGCTTTTTGTAATATAACAATGAGTAAGGTCTTTTACCTGCTTTTTGTAACATAACAATGAGTAAGGTCTTTTACCTGCTTTTTGTAACATAACAATGAGTAAGGTCTTTTACCTGCTTTTTGTAACATAGTAATGAGTAAGGTCTTTTACCTGCTTTTTGTAACATAATGAGTAAGGTCTTTTACCTGCTTTTTGTAACATAGTAATGAGTAAGGTCTTTTACCTGCTTTTTGTAACATAGTAATGAGTAAGGTCTTTTACCTGCTTTTTGTAACATAGTAATGAGTAAGGTCTTTTACCTGCTTTTTGTAACATAATAATGAGTAAGGTCTTTTACCTGCTTTTTGTAACATAAATGAGTAAGGTCTTTTACCTGCTTTTTGTAAATAACATGAGTAAGGTCTTTACCTGCTTTTTGTAACATAACATGAGTAAGGTCTTTTACCTGCTTTTTGTAACATAACAATGAGTAAGGTCTTTTACCTGCTTTTTGTAACATAACAATGAGTAAGGTCTTTTACCTGCTTTTTGTAACATAGTAATGAGTAAGGTCTTTTACCTGCTTTTTGTAACATAACAATGAGTAAGGTCTTTTACCTGCTTTTTGTAACATAACAATGAGTAAGGTCTTTTACCTGCTTTTTGTAACATAGTAATGAGTAAGGTCTTTTACCTGCTTTTTGTAAAATAACAATGAGTAAGGTCTTTTACCTGCTTTTTGTAACATAGTAATGAGTAAGGTCTTTTACCTGCTTTTTGTAACATAACAATGAGTAAGGTCTTTTACCTGCTTTTTGTAACATAACAATGAGTAAGGTCTTTTACCTGCTTTTTGTAACATAACAATAAGTAAGGTATTTTACCTGCTTTTTGTAAAGTGTCTCGAGATAACACAGTTGACGCTATACAAATAAGAATTGATTGATTGATGATAATGTAGCACGTGTACCTGAATAAAGCATATAAGGGGAGAACAAGTTATGGCCATTTTCTATGTTCTATAGTTTCCAAAGAGAGGCGACTTGACTTGTTAAAAGTTAAAGTATAAAAGGAGCATTAGAGTTCAATTCATAAGGTTTTCTTGGCTGTTAAGTGTATGGTTTAGACCAGTGCTTCCCAAAGTGTGGGCCGCGGCCCCCTGGTGGGCCGTGTGGGTGCTGCAGGTGGGCCGTGAAAAGCCCTCCACCAATTTTAAAAATAAAATAAATATCACAATAATGATGATTTACCATGAGTGAACCCTTTAAGTGATTAGTAAGGCGTGTCATGACTATTCATGGACATAATGTTTAGTACACTTTTGTGTCTATCTTGCCATAATATCATGTTGTCATGTGACAATAGTTTACCCTTACTGAAAGTTATAGCTGTAGTCATATTTTTTATTTTATAACGGGCCCCGGCATACTTTTGTATTTCAAAGTGGGCCGCGGCAGTTTTAAGTTTGGGAAAGGCTGGTTTAAACTAAAGAACTGTCTGGATAAATGTATTCCTGTGTTTAACTGGGTTAGATAAATCACAGTACAAAAAGTACAAACACACCCTTTTTCACTTTGTTTTCTTAGCTTTGCAACCCTTTCAGAATAAGACCCACCTATGTTGAAAGGAAGCCAAAGAACACCTGGAATATTCCATAACATTCAAACCGTAAACATTTTAATACCTTCATTGTGTGGATGTTTCAGTACACCTGCCCATCTCTGAGCCCTTTGTGATGAGTCAGTCAGTGCCCTGAAAAGATCTCCTTCTTAATAATGTCTTACTCATCCCAACATCGGTGTGGGAAATGAAAAGATCTTAAAAAAAAAACAGTGCTTAAAAGTAATCTTATATGTTAACATGAATGCACTTCCCGGATCAGCTGACAAAGAGGCTAGCAGAGACTGCTCTTCTGTCTGTCGTTGCCATGGGAACATGAGCCAAACTTTGGAGAAGAGCCAGGTGATGTGATAACAACAACAACGACAAAACAGCAAGTCATTAGAATGTCTGTCTGTGAAACCTACTCATGCAGAAAGAGAGGCCTGCTGTAAAACCATTAAGTGGAGTCATGTGAGCTCACAGCACCGGGTGGCGTTAATGAGCTACAGAGAGGAATAGCCTTCAAAGTTATAAAGAGTTACGCATTCTTTGAGTGTGTGTGTGTGTGACAGCTGGTATTCTCTCTGCGTTGTCTGTGGCTCCGATCCAGGTGGAATGACACATATCTGTTTTTAATCCTCTGCAACACATTGTTGACATGTGGAGTTATGTCTCACCTCATGGACTTTGGTACCAGTTTTGAAACAAGACAACTTAAAAAAAGCTCCAAACAATGTTTCCCCGCAGTGTTGATTTTTTACACAACGGTTTCTTTATATGTGATTTTTTGATCTAGCAGCACCAGCATGAAACCAAAACAACTCACGCTGCATTGTTGTGTTAGCATGCTAATGCTAGTGATCTTTATTATGCTCGTATCTTCACACTGCATGTAAATTTACCTGAAATGAGCGTGATCTAGAAACACAGTTAATCAGTGAGTACAGTATGTTATTCTTCTTTTCTCTAGTCCCTCAATTAAACAACTTTTATACACGAGGGGAGGAGTCAGCCAGCCGTCATGGCGATGTAAACAAAGTGAAGATAGGACTCTGAAAACTCTGAAAACAGAGTTATTTTCAGAGGATATACTTGATTTCTATTACATTTAAGTGTGACCATTAAATGTACACCATACAAAGAGGATATTTGATTATAAAGTCAAAAGTACATCTCTTGTGTCCTCACAGATTGGACAAGAGGACAAAGATATTAGCTTTTTTTTTTTTTTTTTTTCAATTTCACTCGGCTCAAATGACAAAGTCATCTTGAGTGGCATTGAATCCTGCCAGACTTTGTCGTAACGTTGTGCTGTGCTCGCAGGGTTTCTTGGTTTTTGTTTAAGTAATGTATGACATATAGTTCCGATTTCAACTTATTCTTAATGAGACAATGTTTTTTTTTTAACATCTTTTATTATTTGACCAATATTTCTCTAGAAACCCTCTGTTATCCAACTGGATGTTTTAAAGTAATTTCTCATTTAGGTTAAAGGCTTTCTATGTGATTTTTCACACTTCAATATAATATAAATCAAGTGTATCCTCTGAGAATAACTCTGTGAGTCATGACTGTCTACAATGGGTGTAACACCCGAGTCCCACTGTCTGTGATGTTTTCAGAGTTTTCAGAGTCCTATCTTCACTTTGTTTACATCGCCATGACGGCTGGCTGACTCCTCCCCTCGTGTATAAAAGTTGTTTAATTGAGGGACTAGAGAAAAGAAGAATAACATACTGTACTCACTGCTTAACTGTGTTTCTAGATCACGCTCATTTCAGGTAAATTTACATGCAGTGTGAAGATACCAGCATAATAAAGATCGCTAGCATTAGCATGCTAACACAACAATGCAGCGCGAGTTGTTTTGGTTTCATGCTGGTGCTCAAGGGCGACATCTGCTGGATCAAAAAATCGCATATAAAGCCTTTGAAATAACACAACATTATGAATGCAATACAATTGTATGTCCTTTTTTCATCATGAAATTGTACATTTGGTGACTTATTAACCAAAAAAGGTTTATGCACTTCTTGTGCATGCCTCCAAAATAAAAGCAGTAAATCAATCAATCAATTATATCAAGAAGGAGTTGCAGACTGTCAAAACTAGATGGAATAAAAACACCAGAATGATCACTATGTCACAACTTTTAAAGCCTCCAACCAATATTTAGCCAACACAGACATGTCGGTCATTGTATCAACATCCAAGAATATCTATTTGAGAGTAAAGAGTGTTGGTGGTTTCTATCAGTATGTTTGCTGTCCTCAAACAGAGGTGGCATTAAAAGCCTTGACTTAACTTGCTGCTCATGTGAACGCTCAGGCTGTTCACTATCACATGATGTTGAATGCACATGTCATCGACATAATCGCCTGTGTCTCTGTTTTGACTGCAGTCATGCTGTTTGATTATACACACCTGCTCCTGTTGTCATCCAGCCAATATGGCCTTGAGCTGATGTCATGGAGCATAATCATAAAGCCTGAGAGGATTCCACACAGCAGCACATCTACCGACCTATCCGTCTGCAAAAATCATCCTATTCCGACAAACATCTCTGCAGCATTGTTAAGTAGTCGGAGTGATTTGTTATGATCATCTGATGGCTAAAAACATTAAAAAGCAAAGTCTGACCTGTGCACGGAGCTCCTTGACAGTCTGCTCCTGCAGGGACCAGTCCCGAGAGCGTGAGTCATTTCTGACACCCCAGTCGGTTATTTGTTCCTCAAGCCTCCGGTTGGTGTCCTGCAGCCTGTTCACCTGCTCCAGGAAGCCCTTTAGACGGGCATTCAGACCCCACATGGTGTGACTGGAGTCCTGCAGCAAGTCCATGGAGACCTGAGAGAGCCCACACCCAGATGTTTACTCACACAGCAAGCTGATGATATTTCCATACAGTCAAATCAACCTACCGCAGCTGGTGGAAGCTATGATAGTGAAACATTCAGAGGGTAAGTGACTTACTATCTTTTATCCGGAATGTGCACACAGAAATAAAAATTAACAGTCTGCCACCCGTTTGAGATCACATGCTACCAAAGGCGTCTACTAGGTAAATGTTTACCCAGCGATACTCACCTGAGACTACGTGGCCTTCAGCGGATAGGGCACACAGTAAATGTAGTAACAAGCCAGCAAAAGTCCGTCTGTCTGATTGCCTGGTCACACTGAGCTGATCCACCACTCCCCACAGCTTAGCTACATTCTTCAACTTTCAGGTCAACACTTTCTCCTTCCCACTGTGTCCCAGGTCATCAGCAGCTGGCTCATGAGAAAGAGCAGATAGGCTGCCATCGGCCTGCCAGTATCACCCTGTTTGTGTGTCAGTCTTTGGTCTTCAGGGTCAGTCGCGACAGGGATGGTCCGCTCTGTCCCAACTTACTCACGCCCCACTCACTGGCAGCATGTGGACAAGTGTAGAGCAATGGGGTAAGCACTGGACACTGTGCTTACATCACCAGCACTCTGGGGCCCTTTGTACTCTCTGATCCAGGATTACTGAGGCGCTTTCAAACACACAGCAACACATGCTGCGGAGGGAATGTTCAGTGATAGGACCGGTGTGTATTTAAACAGCACCATAATTAGAGGTTACCTATACATGTACTATAATCAGGTTAAATCTGTGTGCATTTGCACATTCTGCTCTCAAGTAATACACACATTGTACAAAGTATACCTCTTGGTCAATTACAGTCTTGGCTAGTTAAAGAGAATATGTGAGTGTGTCTGGGCCAAAGGTTTCATATCCATTATATTGCTGCTTTAATAATGCCAGAAATACAATGTGTTCCGCAGCTGCAGTCCTGTGTTCAGTAGACAAACATTAAATAAGTCAAAGAAAAAAATGTACACACATGATAGCCTACTAGCTTGTGTGCACTAGATTATAATTATGTTGTTTCCACAAGCTATCCTCTAACTTGTGTGGTGAGAAGATTAGAAAACCCAGAGAAAAGTCAAAGTCATGTACCATTACTATTTACCAAATCAAGTGACCAGCAAGCTAATAGCAGCCCATCTAAGGTTATGCTAATGTTAGCTGGCTAGACTAGCTAAATAGCTATTACGGTAACTACCATTTTCGCTATCCCATTCATAGCTCGCTGGATTAGTTTCAAAAATATTTTTTCGCCATCACAAAACACTTGCACGTGCTGATTGAGCTGTTAAACTGATTGAATATACGGAGGATGATGGCCTAGTGGTTAATGTGCAATCCCCATATAAAGAGGCCAAAGCCCTTCATTTGGGCAGCCAGGGTTCAGGACCGACCTGTGGCTCCCCACTCTCTCTCTCTCCACTCTTCTGAGATTGTTGTGAATAAAAACTAAAAAGAATGAAGATAAACACATTGTTCGGTACCTTTAAGTGTCAAAAATTCATTAACATTTAGATCTTCTTTAAAGGTCCCATATTCTGCTTTTTCTGGTTTTATATGCTCTTTAGTGTGTTTTCCAAGTGTCCTGTGCATGTTTAGGCACATCTATGTGAAAAAATTCAAAGTCCGCGGAAACGCGGCTTCTCCTACCTCCTCCTGTTAGCTGTAGCATTAGCCGCATGTAACGCTCGGTTCTAGCCCCCCTCGAAAAACTGTCAGTGTGACGTCTTGTCAGTGTGAGATCACTGATCTAAGCCCATTGGCTCGTTGTAGCAAGCCCTGCAGCTCATGTTGCACGCCCGTTAACTTCTGTAGCACGCCCACGATATGCTGTAGCCTGTGGTAGCACAGTAGTGCTAAGGTGCTAATGTTTTTACTCCCCTCGGAGCCAGAGTGGCTGAGCGACTGACCAATTACGGCAGAGCCGACAGGCCGACCAATCAGATCAGACTTGGCAAACATGGGGACTCTGAACGTGGGCACTTCAGAGCCTTAGAGAGAGAGTCAGAAGTGAGCCGGTGCATGGAGCGGCAGTACATGAAAACAGAGACTTTTTTAAAACTTTAGCTATTGTGAACATACTTTAGCTTAAATATATGAACCCCAAAAAGGGCATAATATGACCTCTTTAAATAGGGTTTCACAGTTTAGAAAATGTCATTCTCTTCGGTGTTCCTATGTCTCTTATTTGTCTCTAAGCAGCTACTTTTGAACATTCACAAGAACTTGGTTATGCGATTCCTTTTCCATTTGGCAAACAAAAAAGGCAGGATGTGGGGATTATTAAAACAGACAACTAAGCCTGCAGATGTATCAGCTACAACCACTGTACAAATATTGTCTCTGTAGTTTTTTACATTCTTTCTGCAACACAGCAGAGGAAAAGCAACCAGCTGACTTTGTCATGTGACAGTTTGTCAGGGATTTGGTTTCTATCCGTCGGTACATTCAGAGAAAGAAAGAACGAAAGATAGATAGAAGAGAAAGGAGGAAGGAAAAATGGATAGTGTGCAAAGTGTGGGAAAGCAGAGAAAGGTTAATGTACAGTACATTTAACAATTAAACACACATGCACAAAACATGCTGTCTAACCAGACAGGGCCAGACAGGACTGTCAGGATACTTACCATCATTACACCACACCCTTTCAGGAAGGTGGCCTCCTGTTGGCGAGAGAGGGCTGACGATGATGACGACGATTAATAATGTCGTTAGATAAAAACCTGGACAGATAAAACACCTGTAAGGGCGTTGCAGGCGGTTCTGTTCTGACTGTCTGGGACGGATGATTTCCTGCTATGACTACAAACTGGGAATGTCACTCAGCCTGTTTTTAGACGTCATGTGCTCCCACATAGATCCAAGAATACGACGTCGCACGACATCCACAGGAGTGTTTGGCTTGTGGTAACATGTAACTGAGGGCTATGGGAAAAAGCAGGCGGATTTCAGGAGCAGAGATGGAGGCTTCAGAGGTGGACACTGCATACAAGAGAAGGAAAACAAAAAACAAACCAGCCTCAGATTACAGGGTTAAAGCTCAACAGTGAAGAGCTCCCTCATGTACCTTACCTGACTTTACATTCCTCTGCCGCAGTTTCCTCATGGGTGGGCGCATATAGGCACTCTTTGATCGTTTCTCACGTGGTGCCTCGTTTTCTGCACAAGGAGCCTTTCACTAAAAATGCTTAAAAAAAAGACAGAAAGAAAACAACTGTTGTCAAAACATATAATAGCGTTGATCCAATAATCTAACAATTATCCATCAAACACTTCGCCTGGAAGATTTTTGTCTGAACATGATATAATTACCCAAGCCTGAGGTCTGGGTTGGGAGGTATTGTGGTGGTTTGGAGCCGAAACCACAGAAGGGATTAGCTATCATAAACTCTTCACCAGACTTTGCTTTAGGGGCTATGTTCAGCTAAAACAGGCTCCATGTGCTTTGCTCACTGAAAGACAGAGACAACCATAACACAAGAGCACATCACATAACTTTTCCTATGACCCTCATAAAAACTATTTACCAGTTATTAATGGTTTTATTGACAACACCCATTATAATTATTGTACCATTTAACACTGCACTAGTCAATATTTTAGACAGTGTGCTAATTGACTGTATTATGTAGAAAGGGTCACATGTAGCAGCAAATTACCTTTCAGCTAATAGTCTGGGGTTTGGGTCGCAGTTCTTATTGCCCTCATGGGACTAGCTGTTTAAAACACACTTTACCCTAACTGTTCATTATCATTCTACAGACAGTGTTAACAACTGTTTATAACACACTGGAGTTCAAACTAAACTCGTATATAGCTTATATGTGGCTAAATAAGCACACACACTCTTTTCATTACTATTAACATCTTTACAAGAAGACAAAAATATGGTAAAATTGTATCGATAATGGTTAAAAAAAAAATGAATCATCCTAAAATTAACTGACACTGAAACTAAGAACTGCCGAGCTTTAAACAACAATGTGGTTAATTGCTTTAGAAGAAATAAGTATCTTATAAAAAGGTTTCTGGGTATCGCCACCTCAAATTCAATCACTATAAATTCAAATATTTTTCCCATGTAACTTCAGATCAAAATGAAATACAAACCTGTAACCTGCAGCAGACATGTAAGTGATTGAAGTTCCTGTGCAGGCTAAGCCATTGCTTTCCTAAAGGGAGAGAGGGGCCACAAACTAGGCCGTAGCGCTTCTATTAGACTCCTGCAGCTTTAAATTCAAATTATTCTAACTTTCCCCTTGGTTTCCACTTGTTTTCAAAGCGCAACCAGTGACGTAACTTCAATAACATAGTCAGAAATTTTGCATGTAAGCGAGCAGTCCTGGAGGAGAAACTCATTTATTTAGTTTGATTTAGTTTTCACCTTTCTGACCATGTACGCATGTGTCTGATCCTCTTTATGTAGAGGACCTCAATGTGGATTTCATCATTTGAGTTTCTCACACTTCAGGAATAACAAGGTCAATGCTAATACTTGCTGAAGCGCTTTTATAACAGCTTTCTCTTTTAATGCTTACAAAAAAAAAAAACACTCCACACCTTTTTACTTCAGTGCTGATACTGCTGGGTACAAACAATTAGGCATTTGCGGTTTCCCTCTAATAAGAATAACAGACGCACTACATTCCAGTCACAAAATAGTTTATACTGTAAGTCTGGGAGTCAAAAGTTGCACATAGATGAAAGACATACCTTTGTAGGTGTTCAACACATTTCCAATGAAGAAAAATGAAGGGAACGGCTTAATTTATCTGACACATGAAACATTCAGGGTGTCTCCACCAGAGAATGCCTGGGAAAGTCATTTGAAAATTAGCCACAAAGAAAAAATAATTAAGTAACTATGGGTCGTTCAGGTCCATCAAGATTATTTTTTTCCATCCCACGTTGCTTTAAAAAAACCCAAAATCTAAAGAAAAATAAATTTTATATAACTTATGAACTAAAAATAATCACGTAAGCCTGAAAATTATTTAAAAGAAAAGCTAAAATCAAATGGAATTTAAAATTGTGTGTAATGAGCTGCTTGTATCCTTTTCCTTTAAGACTCACCACCTGAGGCAACTTTTTAAAAAATCATTAAAATCAGTACCATTACATTATTACATTATTTTCAAAAAGAAGTAAGGTGACTGAAAAAACAAAACTATTATCTTATTCAAAGCCTTTCAGACATTTTGGAAAGCACCCCAGGATTACACAGAGCTTGATTTTAACAAAACAATTACCCTGGGAGTGGCACACTGAGCTGTCAGACAATGTTTATCGAGGAAGGGCAAGTACTGTATGTCAGACAGATGAACAAGTCGGGCTGTGTACTTACTGTTGTCACCGGCTGGTTGTGGGGTCAACAGAAGGACTGGTTGAAGGGGTGGAGGTATGTCTGGAAAGTGAGAAGGTAAACTGAGAAGAGGCGCAATCTCTCTTACCTGGCGACGTGTGATAAAGTGAAAACATGAACAACCCCAATTACATTGTCAGACCAGACTGTCACTTGAAAAAGAAGCATGTGCCAGCAAAGTTCTGCCGTTTTGTCAGATTTGTTGTTTTTTTCTGGGCGTTTTTTAAATGAATTGATAGGACAGCTGAAGAGGGACCGTAAAGGTGGGAAGGAAAGAGGGGGATAGACATGCATCACAGGGCCAAGGCCCAAATTCAGACCTGCAGCTGATGCTTCAAGGACTGCAGCCTTT